TTTCTCAGGCAGAGGGAATGGCACGAGCAAGGGCTCAGAGGCACAGGCTGAGCCCGAGCAGGCATTCTGAGGAGAGATGAGATGGGGACTCTCTCGCCCTAGGAATCAGAACTTCCCAACAGTTGTTCCTAGGAGCAAAAACTCCACAAGACACTTTAAGGAAAAAAAATGTTTTTTCAGTCCAAGGCTTTGGACATGCAAAGTTCATGCTGTACCACAGAGCCACCCACTTCAGACTGGGATATAATGAATTCCATGGGAAACTCTATTTAATCTCACTGCTCCGTTATACAACCAAAATAAATATACCCTTTAAGGACCCCATTGTAATCTCACCTTGGCCAAACCTTTTACTCTGTTTAACCTAGAGTCTCCCCAAATTGGATGGTAGTGGAAATATATAGTTACTTTGAAAAAACACTTTTGTGAAAAACTAGAGTGTTTGAGGGTGTTGTAGCAAACACATCTGTGTTGTCTAGAGGAGCTGTGCTCTGAGGGAGTCTATTTGCTGGCCTTCTGTTTGGTCAGGTGACCTTCAAGCAGGCACTCTTCACAAATTCAGCTGATTCTGGCCTCTGCCACCCCTCCCCAGGACTACTGAGGTAGTGATGCTTCTCACCCTGTCCTGATTTACATCAAGTATAAATCAGATTACGGTCAAGCAAGTGCTAGAACATTCCATTTTCCTTAGAACAAAGTCTGCCTTTCCACTGGGGTAGGGGTACTCTCTCTGACTCCTCCCCTCATCATTCAGCCCCATGGCTCTTCCCTCGGTCTCAGACTAGGCAGCTGCCTGCTGCCCCCTAGGAGACCATTCCTGCCTTTTTCCTCCCTGACAGCAACTCCAGCTGGAGGAGGAGAAGGCTGTAGGCATTCTGTCTTTGCTTCTGGTGCCCTGTGGCCCCACACTGCACTCACTAGGTTAAGACCTCCAGAAGGCACTGAAAACGTTCTTCTAGAGAGTTCTGGTCTGGTCTGCGTCTACCCTGATCTGCTCTCTCTGGCCTTCCTGCTAGCCCCATTGTCTTCTTTGTCTCGGTCCTGCTTCCAGGCATCAGCGGGGGCGGGGCGGGGGCGGAGGCGGGGGCGGGGGCGGGGGTGGAGGTGGAGGTGGGAGGCGGTACTCTGGAGGCCACCAGGCTTTTCTCTAGGTATGCTTTTTTTGTGTGTTCAAAATTGTCCATAGGACCAGGTAACAACTGACAAGGAGCTCCTGGGGTCCTGCGAATGGCCACGGGTTAAGGAGGGGCTCTAGGCAGGGCTAAGAGGATCCCCGTGGCTCCCTACTCAGGGTGTTTCCACAGAGCCACTTTTTGTAAGATTTCTGGGCACAGGCTGAAAGGCCACCATGCGACTTCTACCTGGGCCCTGGAGATCCAAGCACACCCACAGATCACTGCTACAATTTCATCTTGCCAGAATGTAAGCTGATCGCAGTTCTCTCCAAGCATCCTGGGTGGTGGGAGCCTCTTAAATGAGGTTTCCATATGAGGAATGCCTGACAACCCCGGGCCTCCTTCCGCCTGGTTGTTCATCCTTCCAAAGGGAGAAAGGCATGTCCTGGCAGGCAGTTATACTGCTGGTCCTGTTTGGGCACAGCAAGTACTGACTGGAAGATCTGCCTCTCTTTGTTTTACTTCCATCTAGTCATGTGACTAGAACCTTTTTTTTAAAGCCCAGAAGGAGAGCAGAGTATAGCCTCCACTGCCCTCTAGTGGCTAAATCATGACCCCTCCACTTTCTCCTGAGGAACTCCACCATAGCCTAGAGAGATGCTTGCAGGACCCATGGTAACAAGTGCAGATCTGTCCCCCCTGTTTGTCTTGGTTAAGTTTCCAAATCTCCGGCTACCACATTGAGTATCTTTCCTTGTCTCTCCCAGAGAACTCTAGGTGGTTGAGGAATTCACCTCAGAAATGTAATCAAAGAGCCAGTTAGGATCTCCAGTCTACCTGGAGGATAGATGACACCCCCAGACACAATCATATTGATAAACCAGGAAGACAGAGACACAGTTCTCTTTTAAGTATCAAGACAAACGAAAGTCAAAATGAGCAGATCATAACGGTTCCTTATTTTATGAGATAATGAATAGATTATTCACCAAATAGCATCTCAATCTTCATTTGAATGTCTCTGACTTCATTAGAAAACAAGATAGGTTGCATTTCTTAGGACGTGAGATAAATACATGCTGCAGGTTGAGACCTGAGGAATATATACATGTATGCGTGTGTGTATAGATGCATGCATTGTATGAAGGACAGAGGACAACCTCAGTGTCGCTCTTCATGTGTGGGTCAGCTTCCTGCCTCTGCCCCTCCCCCTGCTACTGGGATTACAGGTGCAAGTCACCATGCTTGACTTTAATATATGTATGTATGTAAACATATATATATATATATTCTTAGAATTGAGCCTGAGTCCTCATGCTTTACTATATTTACTTTACTATTTCCCCTTCACCTCTTCAGCTGAGGATGTTTAAAACGACACAGAGCTCCACATTTTACGGCGGTGTCCTCACCCTTTACAGCTGAGTTCAGAGATCACAACTCTGCCTTTCCATCCCCAAGCTTTCCACCGCTAAGCTTGCTCAGAATAGAGAGGCTGCATTTAATGGGTCCTTATTCACCCTCCTCCCGCCTTGTACTCTGAGAGTCTGCCACTCTCCTCTTTCTTCCTGGCAGTGTGAGCGTGTTTCATCCTATCTGCAGAGCATCTCTGAGCTTGACCCCTTCCCCAATTGGCTGCCATTGTTCTCACTCCTCTTGCAGCTCTGGGGGAACATTCCTTCAATCAAACCCTGCTTTCTAGCATTTGAGATCTATCCCTGTACATCAAGGGTGCTTAGGCACTCCCCACCCCCGCCCCCTGCACCCTCGCCTTCCCTAGATCGCTGCTGGCTCTGCCCCTGTTCCAGAGGGAGGGGGAGCCTGGGAGTCTAGGTGCTGGGCGTGGTCATCACAGTTCACTCTAAGAATAAGGATTTGTAAATTTGTAAGGAAGCCCAAACACCCCTCATCCTCTGAGAGACTTCTTTTTTCAAATCAAGCCTCTAAACTTACTGTTCTTTTTAAGCATGTGACTTCTCTTTCAGCTTCCAAAGAAAACTTTAAAACCTGGACAAGATGATCTAGCATCCTTTCAACGCTCTCAAACACTGCAGAGTGCCCTTCCCACTTCTCCTTGGGTGGGAAAGCAGTCATAAGTAACACTTTACAGGCAACATTTTTGCCCTTGGCTCCATCTATCCTCTCTTCTAATGGACCTTGGGCATCTGTCCCAGGCTAGAAAAGTACCATAAAAGCTGAGAACAAAACTGAGGGCTTAGATTTCTTTTAAAGTTGGGAGGGGCGGTGCCATTTGGAGCACTCACATTCCTGGAAGCTGGTGACATGTTTCAAAAGATGCTGTAAATCACCAGGTTCTTGTGCTCATTTTGGTTCGAGGACTCCTTGAGCAGCTTTGGTTTAGTGGAAGGTAGTTCAAAGTCAGCAGTCGCCTATCAGATATTTACATCGTGATTCATAACAGTAGCAAACTTACAGTTAGGAAGTAGCAACAAAAATATTTCTTTTGCTGGGCAGGGGCAGGGGAGGGGTGTCACCACAACATGAGGGACTGTATCAAAAGGTAGCAGCATTAGGAAGGTTGAGAACCACTGGACTAAGTGATGTGACGGAATTTTGTGTATCCTGGCATCAGGCTGAGGTGAGAAGGAGGAGGGAGATCCCTTGAGCTCACATCTGGTGGCAGGGTCTGGAGGTAGATTAGCTGTGTGGTGGGTGGGTAGGGCATGATACACTCAGGAAACCACAGTGACCCCAGGATGGCGGGCAGCCAAACCATATCTGACTGAAATGGAGTTTGTCTTGTTCTACAGATAACAGTGAGTCTTAGAGAAGACTTCATTTAGGAAACTGACAACCAGAGGCCTTCATAAATAGGGCACCACAGGTTATGGGAACATTCTCCCAGGACAGATGCTACAGTGAATGACTTTTAAGGCCATCAGGCACAAAATGGCACCGACAGGAGGAAACTGAGCCTATCTGGCCATCCCACTCATCAGACAAAGACTTACGGTGCCATGAGCCACGGTACTACCAGGAGAAACAGAGGTACAATGACCTGGCCCAGATTTGGACCGAGTGTCTCAAAAGCTCCTGCCTACCCTTGTGCGTGCATGTACTCTCTATGTGTGTCTCTCTCTGTCTCTGTCTCTGTCTGTCTCTGTCTGTCTGTCTGTCTGTCTGTCTGTCTGTCTGTCTGTCTCTCTCTCTCTCTCTCACACACACACACACACACAGAGAGAGAGAGGAAGAGAGAGAGAATACATTTAAAAATATTTTTCACAAAGTCGCGAATAACCACTTTCTCTTCAGAGGGCCCAGGTGAAGCAGTACCACAGGACAATTTGTTAACAGCCTGGTTGGTGGCCACGGTATCCCGTGTGTGTAACTGAGCAAGCCAGCATCCTGACATTCAACTAGGGAAACAAAACCAGCAGTAGCAATGAGAAGCAACCACAGGATTTTAATGGCCTTGAGGCCCTGTAATAATCTCTTGTCCCTGTGAGCCACCAGAAGGAGCTTTTTGGTAGGGAAAATGTACTAAAAATATACATGGAAAACTTATTGTGCTCAACTGCAGAAATCGGAACAGCAAAAACTTTCAGTAGAGACGATGATAAATGAAAGACATCCCAAGGATGCCAGAATACTTTCTCACCATGACACTTCTGTGAATGGTTCATCAGGAAAAGTGCTTGCAAACGTTCTTGTTTGCTTCAAAGTTAGGAAGCAAATGTGTTTTCCCCCTGAGAACAGAGTCCATAAATATTTTATGCATGAAAAAGAAATGAATTGAATCCATTCCCAAGGCCATTTGTCATCCACAGTAAGACAAGAAATCCACTCTGTCCACATTAGCCAGCAAGTAGCGTTTGTTAGAAGTCCCATGTGAAATGACACCCATTTCACTTTTTTCCTACTCACCCTTTAGCTAGTGTTGCTATGCCAACATCAGTTAACTTCATCCCCACACCTGCAGAGGGAGAGAGCAAAGACAGAGTTTGAGTTGCTAGGTGGTCAAGTACTCTCACAGGCCAGAGAAGGACAGCTTATTGCCTCTCTGGGTCCATGTGTACTTTCCTCCCAGTTTCTACCCTCAGAGCCTCAGGAGACTCAGTCCTTCTGACCTGCTCCTGCCATGGGGGTAATGATGGGGAGGGCAGACCTGGGACTCGGCAAGTGGTACCCAGGGCAGGCCTCCTTCAGGCTGATCCTTTCCCCAGAATGGAGGAGGATGCTTTCTGATGAATTTGAGACTTGGCACTTTTCCCATGAGTTTTTGCCCAAGCAATGATGTTTCTTGGACTTAGGTCTGGTCCCCTGTTCCTCACTGAAAGTGGAAACCATTGAGTCAAAGGACACATAGGCATGGTCTGCCTTGGTCAATAGCAACAGTAAATGAGCTCAAGGCAACATGTTCAGAGGCAGACTCCACACATGTAACTTCTCATTTCTACTAAGATAGTTTCCTATCATCGGCTGGAGAATTTCCAGATCCTAGGAAACACTCACATTGGCCTGGGGTACAGTGATATTTAGGATCCATGGCCCAGCCATTTATGACTTATAATATAACTTCATTCGTGGAACCATGGTGGTGATGGGAAATACCAAACCAAAGCAATAAAATGACTACTGAGCTTCCCAGTCTGGCTTAGCAAAAAGCCACCGATATCCTTGCTGGAAGCCCAGGCACCCAGAAGCGCCTTTGCTACTGTGCTCCCAGGAAGGGCATCTGGAAAGGAGCTAGGAAGCCAGCAATGCCAGGAAAGCCAGCAATGCAAGGAAAGCCAGCAATGCCAGGAAAGCAAACAGCCTGCTGCTATCTTCTAGCATCCTACTAGTAAAGTACTGCCCATTTCCTGTCTTCCCCAGCGTCCACCAGCATCTCTCAGGCTAGCAATTAGGAAGAACATCAGTGCTCATGCCCAGAGTGAAGAGGTCCCGGGCCTCTCTAGGAGCTTCCTGCTCTATCCAGGTCCTCTTTCTGCTTCTGACTTCGTAGGGTGGTGACTCTGGGCACTTGTCCTACCTCAGTGCACCCTGTCATTGCAATCTAGTGGTGACTTGTTGGACACTTCTGACATATCTCTCACTCTGGCCCTAAAAGAGCTGTACTGTAAGCAGTGTGGGAGCATGAGGATGATCCAAGTTCTTAGAACTCACCTAGAAGCTGGATATGGTGTGTGTGTGTGTGTGTGTGTGTGTGCGTGCGCGCGCGCCGCACGCGCGCATATGTGTGGTCTCAGAGTGCCTCTGGGAAATAGGAGGCAGAGATGAAGAATTTCTCAGAAGCCTAGTTTATTTGGTTTAATTATTTGTCAGCAATTCAACAAAGGTTTTCAACAATCACTGAAGGGTAATATTTCCAATTTGATGTGCAGCTGTCCAACTGAGGTGAGGCTGATAGCAGCCTATCAGTTGTTTCTAGCGGGAGGAAGGGCAGGAGTACATTCTCAGAATCTGAGTTTGTGGGCCTCTCAGGGGTGGCTCCTTAGAAAGCCTAGTGGTTTCAGGTCTCAGGTCTTAATTCCAAGTCAGGGACCCATCTCTGACCCCACAAACCTAGTGCCATCAAGCTTCTATCAACAAACAAATGTACCCAGGGAAGATGACAGTTAGATTTGGTTTCGTTTCTTTTATTTTTAATTGTCGTGTGTACAAAGCTGAGACCTTGCTTAAAGAATGTGTGAGCTGGTGCTACAATGACAATGACAATGAAGAGATTTTTCCAAGCTGCAGACAGTAAATAAACCCTGTTATGAAACGCTGTGCCAACACATTTAAGCACACACATCATTTACGGAGAGATGTAATATTCCATTGCAGCTGTTTACTAGTGCCTGGAAGCAAAACTAGCTGTGCATGAAGCTCCAGGGTGCTGTTTTTCAGCAGACAAAATACATTTAACGCAAAATTAACTCCAAAGGTGTCAACTTGGGGAGAATAATTGTACAGCTGGAATCTGAATAGAACAAATAGCTGTCTGTTCAGGATGCACATATGCGTTCGCATGCTTGTGTATGTGTGTGTGTGTGTATGTGTGTGCATGTGTGCGTGCGCGCGCGCATGTGCGCATGTGCTTGTGCATGTATATGTGTGTAGTTATTCTTAGGAGGGAACAGAGTCACAGAAGTCCCTCAGAGCCCTGTAGAAGACATTCAAACGTCAGAACCTTTTAACATCAGGGGATACTTTAAAAGCCTGGGAAGTAAATGGACTGAAAATTTGCTAGTTTGCCATCTTGTGCAAAAAGTACAATATCCAGAATCTGAAAATGTAGGTTGGGGTCCTGGACACCTCTATAATTATTAGCTGCTTGGCAGAAGCTGAACCACTGCTCTCACTCTAAGTTTTTTCATCTGTAAAATGGGAGCATAATATATTCTACCCAAGGTTATCATGGAGAATAAATAAAAATCATAGAAAAGTGAATGCCTCAAAAGCTGGAGAAATCTAGTCACTGTAGTCTAGCCACCCACTGATCAGTGTTCCCCCTCTAGCTTTGATAAGGTGCAACAGGTAAGTGGGCTTTGATCGTTAAGCAAAGCTCCGTAAAGGGTATGTGGGCACTTCTATACATGTTTGCATGGTCTGTCTGTCTGTCTGTCTGTCTGTCTGTCTGTGTGTCTGTCTCTGTGTGTATGTGTGCCTGTCTGTCTCTCTCTCCCATGATGGAGAGTTTTAATGTCAACTTGTCATTAGAGTTATTTAAATAGAGACCCTAAACTGAAGAACTGGCCTAATTGCCTTAACTGATGTGGGAAGACCCACTGGGACCGTGGGCTGGACCTTCTGCGATGAGCTGGCATGAAGCGGGAGGCAGGAGCATTATTTGCCTTTATGCCCCTTGACCTTCCCTCTTGCAGCCAAGTTGATTTACCCTGCCACTGCCGCTTCCCTCCTTGAGAGCAGAACCAGTGTTTCCAGGCTTTCAGAGTGGACTGAAGGTCAGTAGTCCTCCAGGAACTGGCCAGGGTTTTAGCAACAGACAGGGACTGCACCGGCACTGCACCCTGTGGACCTAGCAACTGCTGTAGGTTATCAGCCTCTCCAGTGTGAGCCAGCCACTGTGGGACCATTCCGAATGCTGAGCAGCCAGTCTCAAGCATTGAGGAACCACAGGGTTCTTGGCTCTCAGGTGCGAGACAACTGTTGTACTATTTTAATGAACTTTATCTTAGAATATGTATTGGGTCTGTTCCTCTAGAGATCACTGACTAATACAGGGTCTCTAGCCCAGGCTGATCTTGGTCAATCCTCTGCCTCCACCTCCAAACACTAGGATTACAGGTATGTGCCACCATGCCTGATTTATATTTTTATAAGTTCGTGTGAGTCTATTATTTCAGAATGAGGAATTAAAAAAAAACAGGGAACATTTTATGACTCAGCAATGCTGCAATAAGCATTTTACCATCTCATTTAACCCCCCTCGAAACAACTATATACAGAAAACTCCAGAGCTTGGAGAGAGGTATAATTAGTCCAAAGGCTGACAGCTAGGAAGTGACAGTGTCAGGAATGAAATACTGGAGGCCACCACCATAGTTTTAGTACCCTTGTATGAGACACTGCCTTATAGTCATCAAATAACATAGTTCAGATTTTTCTCAACAGTATTATTATCTGGAAATAAAAAAGGAACAAGAAAATGTGCAGACAGAAGCTGTAGGCAGTTGACCATTGTCCTTTCTGCCTGGTTACACCTGCGGGTACCACTTTGCCTAAAAACTTTGTTTTGCCATTGCAGCAAGAGTTGAATACAGGGAATCAATGCCCCCACCATAAGCAGCATTTGGCTGGTACTAATGGGAGCTGTGGGTAATCATTCCTGCTCCTCCAGTCCACAGGCAGGGAACTCTGGGAAGTTTGCTCAGTGTAGGCTTCCAACAGGGTACAGTTGCCCATGGTAGTAACTGTGTGTTTGTCCTTGTGTGACTGACTGGCTGAGCTTCCTCCATCTTTTACTGCTGTTTTCTGGGCTTCTTTCTCAAATGAACTATATGTACTTAAGACAGTAGTTCTCTGGTCTTTCCTCCACATCTTTGGGTTTTGTATTCTTAAAAGAAGTGGAGACTGAAAATATTTTTTAAAAATTGAACATGTTTTGAGTACATACAGACCAACGTAGCACACTGCCTCTCTTAGAGGACCTTTACATTGCATTTTGTGTTAGGAGTCATCTAGAAATGCTCAAAGTATACAGAATATGCAAAGGTTACGTACAAACATGTTATACAAGGGGTCTGAGCACATAGAAATGTGGGTATCCTCAGAGGTCCTGGAGCCAACCCCTGGGGATACTAGTCTCTGGTCTGTTCCAGAAAGAAACCTGATTATGACATGTCTGCCTCCTATAAGAACCTGTCTCCCTTAAAATTTGTCTGCACAAACATATATGCACATGGAAAGCTTACTGCAAATTCCTCAGGAGAGCCCAAGATCAAAGGTTACAGGGACACTTTCATTTATTGGGAAATAAATAGTATACCTCAGCTCACCCATGTTCCACATGGACTTCCACATGTGCTGAATTTTGAGGTGTAAAAATGAAGCCAGCCTCTACCTTTTACAGTGGAAGGCATTGCTGGTAGTTATTGTATTACTTTATTCGATGATCAGCCATTGTCAAGCTTCATTTCCAATTGAACATGAGTAACAACTTGGGGAAGATGCTTGTTGGTACCTAGCAAACCTCTCCTCCTTTTCTTCCTCCTACCCTTAGGAACACCCCATAGCCCACAGCCTCCCCAGAGCTGGGTGGTCCATTCTTCTTACCTTGCATGTCCGTGACCAGGAGACAGCCACTGGTTTTCTGGTACACCCAGTGCTGGAAAGTGCAACACTTCTGACCAGCCTCTGAATCCCGTCTGAGGAAGTTAATTTCCTTCCCGTCTCGGATGGAATACTTCACGAATTCTCCAATCAGCTCCTCTTCCACTGTGGCATAAGGGATGTTGTTCTCGGGCCGATGGATGAGGAAAATAGGGATGATCCTGTCAAGGAGGAGGACATGGTCACTGGTCACATTCTCACATGGGAACACAAGTGTCTGGGCATTTCCGTCACCTGGATCAGCAGGTCACATAGTCAATCCAGGTTCCACTCGTATTTTATTTTATGTTTTTCCATTGCCCTCAATTATTATCTAATGAACCAGAAGACTCATATTTAATTTTGTTTCTAAAATTGTTTTTGGAACTCCTCCTCATCATTACTTTTGATATTATTTTGTTTGAGATATCTTACACTGCAGCCCCAGCTGGTCCGGAACATGTTATAGTAAATAGACTGGCCTGGAACTCACAGATATTGGTTTGCCCCTGCCTCCCAAGTGCTGGGATCAAAAACATGAACCATCATGTCAAGCTTTAGTTTTGCTTTAATTTTTAAAATTTATTTTATATGTGTGAATGTTTTACCTGCATGTATGTACACCATGTGTGTGTATGGTGCCCACAGAGGCCAGAAAGGGTATCAGATGCCCTGGAACTGGAGTTACAGATGGTTGTGAGAAACCATGGGTGAGCTGGGAATGGACCCAGGTCCTCTGGAAGAGCAGTCATTGCTCTTAACTGCCACGCTATTTATCCAGCCCCCTTTCCCTTTCAAAATAAACAAACAAATAAATAAATAAGGTCTCACTAGGTAGTGAGGCCAGCGTTAAACTAATTAGGTAGCCTAGACTAGCCTAGAATTCTAGCTCCTCCTGTCTCTGGCTGTAGAGTGTTGAGATTACAGGCCTGAGCCACAATGCCAGGCTCTACAATTCTATCTCAGTAATCCATGGGATCAGTAACTATCATCCATCCATCCATCCACCCATCCACACATCCATCCATCCACCCATCCACACATCCATCCATCCACCCATCCATCCACCCATCCATCCATCCACCCACACATCCATCCATCCATCCATCCATCCATCCATCCATCCATCCATCCATCCACACATCCATCCACCCATCCCTTACCTACCCATCCTTCATTCAGTCAGCAAACACTCATCTTCAGTGGCCTCAGGGTGTTAATACTCTTTCACAAACACCAATAAAGAAAACAGAGGCCCTGCTGTCAAGTTTCAAACCTAAGACAAATGGAGGCTGAAGTACCTATTTAACAAAGTGGACCTTGTCTGCAGGTTCTCCTAGCTTCCCTCAGCCCCTACCTGTTACAGGGTATGACTGGCATGTCCTGCTCCTTATCCCACACTTCAGGGGCTGGGCTGCCCTTCCCCACACTCATAGGCTCTTCCCTATATAATCCAGACATTTTGGTTAACCCCCCTTTTTGTACCTTCCACCTCCTGCCAACTCATTTCCCTTCCCCTCCCCCTCTCCCCACATGGCACAGTTCAAGGTCATGTCTGCTCTGGACTCTCCCTGATGTCCCTGTCTCTGCCTACACCCCCCCTTTTTTTAATCTACAATAAACTTTCTCCATAGAGCAGTCATGTACTTTTCTTTTCTTTTTTCATTTTTCCATTCATCTGCCCCCCTTCACCACCAGCATGAAACTTAAATTCAAATGGAGGTCACAGGCAGTGGTGCTAAATGTCAGGTGGACGTCTAATGCAGTGTCACCAAGGAGATTGTACTGGGGTGGGGAGGGGGCTGTCATTTTATTCAGTCTCAGAAGTCTTTGCTTATTGATAAAGGACATTTGAGTGAGACCAGCAGAAAGCTGGGGGCAGCCATGAGGGTATCTTAGGAGAGAACCTTCCAGGTGGAAGGAGAAGCAAATGAAAGGCTCTTCAAGCCTTTGCCAGCTTAGGGTGACAGCATTTGTGTCTTGTGAAAGAGGTATCTAGGGACCGTTGGATGAGAGGGGCATATTTGGAGCTGTGGTCCCACTGTACATCCCTAAAAAAGCAGGTTGGTCATCAAGCCTCTGTCTGTCTATCATGCTTTGTCACATTTACAAGACTCAGGGGACCTTCTGAAGACTCCTAGCCAATTACCCACCAAACAAAAGGACTCAAGGGTTGTCTGGGTTCTTATTAATCCTGTAGCCCTTGGGGAACCAGAACAAAGTCTGGGCATTACTCACAATCTCAATTAGCCTGCTCTCTGCCCCCTTGGTGCTATTTGCATAGACAATGTGATATTCATGAATTCGAAAACAAAAACTTCCAGAGTATGGAGTGTTTTGTCTTCAAGACCCCAAAAGCTCCCTAAAAAGAAAACTGCTTCAGGGGTCCATTTCTTGAAGTAAACATGGTTTGTGTGTGTGTGTGTGTGTGTGTGTGTGTGTGTGTGTGTGTGTGGTGTGGTGTGGTGTATGCAAGTGTGTGTGTGCAGGTGTTTATACAGGGGTGTGTGTATGTGTGGTGTTGGGGGGTATGTATGTGTGGTGTGTGGTGTACGTGTATGTGTGTGGTATGGTGTGTGTGTGTGTGTGTGTGTGTGTGTGTGGGGGTGGGGGGGTGGACTGTGGGTCCAGTGCCTCCAGATCCCAGCAATATGCACTTTCCTAGAAGTGTGAGGGGCCAGCTCAGGCACACATGTCTGCATCCCGATGTAGAATTCTCAGATTTAGGTTGGTGAATATCTGTCCTAGACATCCTTCAGAGAATGTTCACCCATCCGTATGCTATAATCACTCATGTAGTCACAACTTCTCCTATTGTAAGCAAGGAGAAACCATTTTTTGGTAGAAAAATGTCTTCATCTGTCTTTAGGGCAGTGGCCTGGCTTGGTGGCTATGGGGGTTTGGTGTCTATGGGTGAAATCAATTAAGCTTGTACTCCCTACTTGTATCCCCCCTTCCTTCTAAGCCCCTAAACCCATCTTGATAGCCATTGTGAGTTCTTTCCTTTTGAAGGGCCCTAAGCAGTTCAAGAGTCAAGTTGCACAAAACTTGGGTCTACCCCTGTGGTAGGACTCCATAGTTTTGCTTTTATGACTGGCACTTAGAAACTGCTTTTGTGGCTCAGTGAGATGGCTCACTGGGTAAGACACTTGCTACCAAGCCTGATAACCTGAGTTCAATCCCCAAGCTCCTCATGGCCAAAGAGAGAACCCCTTCCTACAAGTTGTCCTCTGACCTCCACACAATCTTTGTAACACACACACACACACACACACACACACTCATGCATGCATACACATACACACTTCATAAAAATGAAGGGACCACAAAAGCATTGACTCCCATTTGGGGCCACAAGGTAACTAAAAGGAGGCTGAAAGCCTGGCAGCTCTGCCTTGGTTTTGCATTTGACTCCTTGCTTTTGGGCCAGAGTCCTGCTTGATTTTGCCTGGACACGTTAAACACTTAAGGAGTGCCTGCCTACCTAACCTGTCTCATCCCCACGTCAGGCTGAAGGCACAGAGATCAGTCATCCTCTGAACCCTTGGATTCCGGAAACAGCAAAGCCTCCCAAGACAGACCACACTCTAGATAGGTCAATTATCCACTAGGATGAGGCTGCATCCCGAAGCAGCAGCAGGAACCAGGTCATGTCCTCAGGGGTGACAGCAATAACAACCCTGGCTCACCATGCAGAAGCAAAGGTTCTTTAGTTATGTATACACCTGGCCCTCTTCATTGCTTCCTTATGCATACCTCTTGCCTCCTGCCACAGTCCTTCCTTCCTTTTTCTTTCTTTATCATATATACATATACATAATACATACATACAGAGTTCCTGGAACTCACTCTGTAGACAAGGCTGACCCTACCTACAGCTCTTGTCAGTATCCCAAGGATGAACTTGGAGTTCAGGGACTCCTTTCCCATTCCTCTTATCAATGCACAAATTCAATCTCCTTTCTCTGGTTTTCACCATCACTGGTCATACTGGGACAGGTGTCCAAACCTAGCTTGTTGGAGTGCCAGAATGTGGGCTAAAACTCTGTTACAGTTTCTATTTTTCCTTCCTTAAGGAAAAACTAAAGAGAACAGAGGCTGGAAAAAGAGGGAGCAAGAAAGATAATGAGCAAGTTCCTACATTATGAAATGGAACTCATCCCAACTACTGTCTTAGTGTCTAACAGAAAAGCAGTGTTGTCCCCCCCACCCGCGCACGGCATATTAATTTTGCTAAAGTTGCCGCCGAATCTCCTTGCACTAGACATGTGTCACGTGCTTCTTGGCAGACATCAGAAAGTACTGGACTTCCTACTATATCATAGCACCCAACGGGAAGGGTTCCTGAGTAAATGGGGAGCATACAGACAAGAACTGCTTCCTTCCCCTCCTGATTTCACTGATGTGTAAATGGCCGCTCTTCCTGCATTTCCTCATGGCCTCTTTCTGCTTAGCATGCAAATATGACCTTATCACACAAACAGCTAATAATCACAAGTTCCAGACTCTCAGGAATTTGCTGAACCTCAAAATGCTTAGGCAATGAGTGGATCAAGTATACAATTTCTGTCCAGAGGATTATGGGAAGTAGATTCTGTTCCAGTGTCCCTGGTCTTCCCCCACTGTGTCACCATAGCTTACTTACTGTTGTCATAGTCTCTTGGTCTCTTGTATTTGTTTATTGTTTGGATAAGGCAGTGAAAGTAAAATCTATGAATGGGGAAGGTGTCCAATTTTCTATTGGAGGCAGTAGACACCATAGTGTCTATTTAATGTGGTAGAATCCATTCTTTTATCCAATCATGTATTTACTTAATGAATATCAGTGCTGGTGAGGTGGCTGAGCAGGTAAAAGCACTTGCTCTACAAGCCTGGTGACCTGAGTTCAACCCCTGGATCCCACATAAAGGTGGAAGGAGATAACCAAATCCACAGAGCTATCATCTATCTTCTGTGTGTGCCACATCACAAGAGCCCCACTGTATATGCACACACATATAATGATAATAAACTTTAAAAAAATATTTGTTTTTGTTTTATGTGTATGGGTATTTTGTCTCCATATTATCTCTGCATCACTTCCATGCAGTGCCTGTGGAAGCCAGAAGAGGGCATCAGAGCCTCTGGAACTGGAGTTATAGATGGTCATGAACCACCATGTGGATGCTGGGAATTTAGGACAGGTCTCTCTGGAAGAGCAGCCTGAGCCCATCTTCCTAGAAGCACAATAGTTGAAAGAAAAAAAAAGAATATTTACCATGAGGCAGGAGAAGTGGCTCAGTGGTTAAGAGTACTTACTGCTCTTGCAGAGGACTCTAGTTTTGTTCCCAGTAGCCACTTCGGGTGGCTGACAAACACCTGTCACTCCAGCTCTAGAACAGACGCCCCTCTCTGAACTCTACCTGTGCACTCCCGTGTGCACAATCCCACACAAAGACACACGTGTGAACACATGATTTACATTTTAAAATTACCTTATTTTTATTTGTATGGTGTTTTGCCTGCATGCCTGTTCACCCCGTGCATACAGTTCCCATGGAGGACAAAAGAGGGCATCAGAACCCCTAGGACTGGAGTTACAGACAGTTGCGAGCCATCATGTGCGTGGAATTGAACCCAGGCCTTCTGGAAGAGCAGCCAGTGTTCTTAGCCATTGAGCCATCTCTCCAGCCCCACATAATTAATTTTTTTAATTTAAAAATATGTTATTTATCAGGCATTCTCTTACACCTTCGGAGGTCAAACAAGAACTGGAAAGCAGCCCTGTGATCGCTCATGAGTTTAGAGTCAGAGAGACGCAATCAAACACTTGACCCATGATTGGTCCTTCTTACCCTCCTAACCTCTAACTCCTCCCCATCCATAGCAAGCTCAGCAAACTTACTCTGGAACCTCTCCAAAGCCTTCCAAAGGCTGTGCTTCCGCAGCATAGATCTTGGCGTAGTATCTGGCAGTATTTTGAACGTAGCATTCCTGTAGTGGCCAAATACATTGTAAATCCGGATGATTAGAAGAATTCAGAATATTCATGTTTCTAAGATTATTCAGATAAATAGATTCCCAGGCCCTATCATATCTAGTTGGCGTCACAGAAGCAACTTTTCTTTTTAGTGCTAGGGACCCTTGCCAGGACTTTGTGAATGTTAAGCGAGCGTTCTACCACTAAACTGTACCCCAGAAACCAAAATTACAGTGTGGTGCCAGTTTACAAAGGTGCTCTGAGATATGAATTACTGTAGTCACAGTCAGGCACTGGCCTCTCAGGTCGAGTGTCTGGAAACTACATTTCTAGAACCAGCATGGAGGAAGGTTGTCCCTGACCTGAGGGGCCTGGCTCTTTCACATGATGTCAAACAATGGTTGGTAAGGGCATTCCCGGTTTCCCCTGGGATCCTCCCCAATTTCTTTTTAGAGGTGTAATTTAAGTGGACATGTGATTGCTCCTTAGGAAAAGTCAAGCAGATTCTGCTGTCTGCCCTCTAAGGCCTGTGTGACCAGGAGTCAAGGTGGGGACTTTCCATGACTGAGTGTGCTTGAGAGGAAAGGGAGGAGAGGAGAGGAGGAAGGAGGGGAAAGGTGGGAAGGAAAGGAGGCAGAAGAGGTTGGCTTCTGGGGTGAAAGCAACACAAGTGGAGAGCACAGGAGCTGCCCGTATCAGCACATAGCACCTCGTGACATTTCCACACTTGACAGGACCATGGGTGACGGTCAATGGTTGATGGTACAGGAGCGCCTCACCCAAATCCTGTCCATTAATTTCATGGGTAACGGTTCAAAGAGGCACATTGGAAAAGTTCTGGACCTAACTCTAGTAGCTTAGCCACTGCTCGTGTCAAGGTGAACCATGGGGGTCAAGGTGAACCATGGGGGTCAAGGTGAACCACAGGGGTCAAGGTGAACCATGGGGGTCAAGGTGAACCATGGGGGTCAAGGTGAACCATGGGGTCAAGGTGAACCATGGGGGTCAAGGCACAGGCAGGAATAAGATGGTGTTCTTTGCCTCTTGAGCCCTTCCCTTTCTTCTCTCATTCTGAAGCTCAGTTTTAGAGAGAAGAAATTTAGCTAGACACTCCACTCAATCTTTCCTTAGACTTTATGGGCAGACTTTGAACAAACCCAGGAAAGCAAGAAAGGAGACAAATCCTGACCCTTCTGAACATTCTCTCCCTCTTCCCCACCTTCTCCTCACAGTCTAATGCTGGTTTTATCTGTCCTCGGGGATCCCAGCATCTGCTGTCACTTAGAAACCCTACTTCTATAGTGCTTCTTGGACCTAGTGGATTCATATCCTCAAGGACCAGTGCGATCACAGCCCATTGGACTCCAGGTAAGAAGAAGGAAAGGTGTCCCTGAACTAAGTCCAGTTCCTTCTTGGAACTGAAAAGCGGTGTCCCCCAAATATGTAGCTTTAATCCTCTCCCTCAAAAAGCCAAATGCCCTTATGCAAATACTCCTCTCAATTACGAGTCTCATCTTCATCTCATGTTATGCGGCATTCTCAAACCCAAAGAGACCCCCTTGGGCTCACTCACCCACCTGGGCGGCGAGTTTGTAGTTCCTCTGCACAAGCTCATCATTGTTTCTGGTCCCGTGGGCAACAGCGTTGTGCACCTTGAGCACGCATGCGTGGCCGGGCTGGAAGACGGGCATGAGGCCCTGCATCACTGTGCTACGGAAAGCTTTGCGGTGCACCCCTTCCCCAAAGTGAAGCTCCTCCGTGGAGATCTGGCCACGCAGGTGGTCCCCGAAGTAGCTGTCATTGAAGACATCCTCTTTGAAGATGAGCCGGCTGAATTCAATCTCTTCACATCCTAAAACACAGGGCAGCTTTCAGTGGGCGGGGTCATTTCCAGTTCGAATCTGTGACTTAACTACCATCCCTTTATAAGTATAAAAACAGCCCGGTGGTGGTGGTGGTACACTCCTTTAATCCCAGCACTCGGGAGGCAGAGGCAGGCAGATCTCTGTGAGTTCTAGGCCAACCTAATCTACAGAGCGAGTTTCAGGACAGGCTCCAAAGCTACACAGAGAAACTGTCTCGAAAACCAAAACCAAACCAAAACAAAAAGGATAAAGACAAAGGTGATCTGTAGAACCCAGAAGGACAGATCATGCTTTAATGCCCAACAGAGACATAGCTAACAGGAGTCCCAGCAGGGAGTGAGGAGGAGAGAGGTCATTAAAGGAGAACGTGGGAAGAACAGGTTGAGGGCCATGTACAAGGGAAGGTTGGTTGGAGCAAAGTTGGAGAGGCCAGGAAAGACTTTTGCATTTCTGGAACACAAAAGCAGAGGCATGCTGGGTGGCCAAGAGGGGAAAGCACCATAGAGGGAGACCCGACAGCATTCTGCTCATTTGTCTCTCCATGCTTCCCCTGGGGTTCTGGGGTTTTTTCTAGCTGTTTCACCTCAAAGTGTACATATGCAAATATTAGAATATATGTGCATATATGCAAATATCAATATATATATCCACACACAATATATTCATATACACTATGTATGTCAGTGTTTATATACAAGAACAGGAAAATCATCTAGGTGATTCTGACCTCCTACACACACACACACACACACACACACACACTGACACACATACAATAGGAAAGTAAGACTTCTGGTGGTTTGAACAAGAATAGCCCCATAGGTTCATATGTTTGACTAACTGGTCCCAGTTGCTGGAGCTGTTTGGGAAGGATTAGGAGGCGTGGCCTCTTTTGCAGGTATGCCATGGAGGTGGGCTCTGAGGTTTCAAAAACTGCAGATCATTCCCAGGATGTTCTCCGTCTGCTGTTCAGAAGATGTGAGCTCTCAGCTGCCTATTCCTATGCCCTCACTCTGCTATCATAGACTGGAACCATAATTAAACACTCTTTTTAAAAAATTCCCTTTAATCGTGGTGTTTTATCACAGCAGTAGAAGAATAACTAATGTATGAGTCAAAAGAATTTTCATCGAAGAGGAACTTTTAGAAAGAAGAATCATTTTGAATTTTTCATAAAAGAGCAGTAGATTATTTTCTGAGTTTCATGATGTAGATGGAGCCAATCAAAACTTGTCTTAAAGATAGTCAAGCCAAGCCGGGCGTTAGTGGCACATGCTTTTAATCCCAGCACTCGGGAGGCAGAGGCAGGAGGATCTCTGTGAGTTCGAGGCCAGTCTGATCTACAAAGCAAGTTCCAAAGCTACACAGAGAAACTCTGTCTCAAAAACCCAAAACCAAAAAAAAAAAAAAAAAAAAAAAAAGAAAGAAAAGAGAAGGAAAAAAAAAGATGGTCAAGCTAGAGTTATTTGGTAAGTGAACAAAATAGATGGCTTTCAATAAAACAGAATTGTTTAGATATTAAAAAAATATTTGGACAAGAGTTTACTGTGTAGCTCTGGCTGCCCTGAAACTTCTTTATCAACCACGATGGCCTTGAATGCACAGGGACCCGCCTGTCTCCTGAGTGCTGGGATTAAAGGCGAGCACTTCTACATCCGACAGGATTGTTTACATTTTTAAAAATACTTCTCTATTCTTCAAAGCTTTAAAAACTGAAATCTTCCTGAATGTTTACAAGAAGACATAAATCATGAGCAGGTAGAAATCTCATTTCACAGTTTTATGCAGAAATATTTTCCTCCTCTAGAAGATGAAAAATGGAGTATTTGCAAGTCACAGCTTTCTCTGTTGGGTCTTTATGTGGTTTAGATGTCAGGGTGACTATGGCCTTATTTTAAAAATTGGGCAATTCCTTCTGTTTCTATATTGTAAAATAATTTGAAGAGTATTGACATTAAAAGTCTGATGGAATTACACACTAAAACAATCTGGCCCTGGGCTTTTTGTTTGCTTGTTTGGTAAACTCTGTAGACTTTTAATGGCTACTTCTGTTTCACTAGGGGTTATAGGTCTTTATAAACTGCTTATCTGATCTTGACTTAACCTTGTAGGTGGTATATATCAAGACGATTATCCATTTCTTTTAGATTTTCTAACCTGGTGGAGTAGAGGGGTTTTGTCTATTTTTTTATTTATTCTTTGCATCTTTCAAATCATGCCCTCCAATTCCACCCATCTCCCTCCCCCACCAAAACATAAAACAAAATAAAATGTAAGAGACAAAAAGAAAAAGGAAGACAATCTCGTCATGGAAGCTGCAGTGTGACACAGGAAGTTGTGCAGTAAACCCCTTTATCCATACATTTTTACATGCCGGCGTTTATCACAAAGAATAACTGGACTGGTTTGAGACCCCTGGGCTCTGCTACACCATCAACACTGGGCCCTCACTGTGACTCTTCCTGGACATCCTGTCGCTGCCCTGTGTGTGGAGATTCTGCAGCTGTGGTTCCACAATACTGATCACACACACGCACAACACACACACACACACACACACACACACACACACACACACACACACAAACTCTCCCCAGAGCTGGGGTCACAGATACAGCCACCACATCCTAGCAATCTCCGTCTCCTGTTGTCTGTGTATTAGACATTAGAACATCTTCATTCTCTCCATTGCCTTGTTTTCCAGAGGTCTCACTTATTTTCTTTCCTTTAAACATCACACAGCACATCTTCCAGACATTTATCCAATATAACCATCAATGCTTATCTTTCCTGAAGTTGGTCAAGGGTGCTGGGCTGTGGCAGAGGTTGCCTGAGCATGTGGTAATGCGTGGCTGGCTGCAGGGATGTGTGGGGCTGCCTTGCTGCTGTGGGCTGTTCTTGCCAGCACCATGCATGTCCTGTTGAAAAGTGGTTGTGTGGGGGTAATTTAGATCAGGAGGACAGGAAGGCTGTAGCCTCCTCAGTCTCCTAGCCCCATGGGTAGGCGTAGGTTGAGAAATCATTTTCCTGGAGGGAACAATACACAACACAGCAAACTCAGACTGCACCGGGCTGTGGAAAGTCAGTGCATGGCCTAGCAGCTGCACGGATATCTAGGAGCAGCTATGCGACTATGGAACACCAGATGCACTAAAAGACAGCACAAAAACACATCTTTCATTTTTCATTAGAATGCAATCAAGCAAGGTTACATTCTGCTTAGCTAGTCAAACTGGAAACGGAAGAATCAAAATGCAAGCATCAAGGGCCAGAACGCTCATGCAAGCAAGGCTTATGCCTAAAGAAAAAAAATTCAAGTCCAAACTCCCCTGGCCAGTTCCACAAAACCACACGGCTGCAGCCCAGTCTTTTCCACAAATGATACACTTCTAGGTATTGGCAATCTATGAAATTCTGGCCAGGAGAACAGCCCTTCCAGCCCCGTGGAAACTGATGGTGAGTGCACTTCAGCAGCCCTTACTGGGCGATGCTCTATTTGGTTGGAAGAGTACACGGAACAATGCGTGTTCTTCAAGGAGCTGGTTGTGTTTTGGTGGGGAGCCCACTCTCTGTCAGGCCAGCTCAGGTCACTTACCTCTATATTCCATGCGACTTGACAGCTGTTTGAGAACTAGAAGGAAGCAAAGAGACAGGAGTCAGGACAGGTGTCCCTCTGAGCTGGCAGGGGCCTGAGGCTTTGACGAGCAGCCGAGAAGAAGCCGAGGTTTACCTTCAGCTGTGAGGTTAAACTCAGCAGTGACTTTTCCATAACTGTTCTTGAGGCAGCAGTAATACAGGCCCTGGTCCTTCTGACCAGCTTGGACGATGGCCAAGGAAACACTGGAGTTGTCCCCTGCGCTGGAATAGGGGACATTAACATTCATATGCTTCATCATTCTAAACTTCTAATGCTCTCAAGAAGGGAGGAGTCAATGTCTTCCTGCCCTGTACTTTCAGCCAATGAACTGGCTGATAGACCAGATTCCCCAAATCAGTCAGTTAAACAATGTATTTACACATAGAGCAGATCGCTGCATTGTGGTTTAATGGTCTCTTTCTTTTCTTTCTTTTTTATTTTATTATTATTTTTGTTGTTGTTTCTTGAGACAGAGCTGCTCTGTGCAACAGGCCTGGCTGCTGGTACTCACTTGGTAGACCAGGCTGGCCTCAAACTCCCAGAGCCTGCCTCTGCCTCCTGAGTGCTAGGATTAAAGGAGTGTGCCAACACCACCACCGGTTTTGGTTTAATATTTTTACTCCATCACACAATATAAATACACAGAAATGTTCTGGAGGACTGACATCAGGAAAACCAGGAGCAGGAATGATAAAATCTGGGAGCTGCTATTGTCATAGCTCAGACTTTTAGGTAGATTATACATGTATCTTGTGTATGAGGGAAATCACTGATTCTAAACCCAAATCTAAGCACAAAAGAAAGCATCTCCTAGCTTTACCCGAGGATTCAGAACTGAGGGCTCCCACTTGGTAGGTAATTCTGTTTGGAGATGGTGATCTCACTATGTCAGTCTAAAATTCCAGGCCCCAAGCCATCCTTTTGCCTCGGTCTCCCTTCAAACATGTTCAGGATCCTTTCAAATAATGTTCACTTTAGTAACTATGTCTATCTCTCCATCCACCTTCCCAATATTAGTTACTAATTGTTATGAACACAAAAACTGATGGTATGGTGGATAAAGAAGAAGATGACGATAACAATGACATCGGTGACAGCTAAGAATCAGGCAAATAAAAAAAATCATCTCCATGTCATCCTCAGTACAGCTGACGAGGGCTACATTACTGCTGTCAGTCCACAGATGATGAGGGCACTGAGACACTAAGAAATTTAAGCTGGACCTTAGGCTGGCTCCCCAAGTAGCCTCTGATTCCTGCCCTTAAGTTGGAGATAATTATATCAATGGTTGTAGCTATAGTCTTCATTCAAAAATTGAAAACATGTACTTTGCTGCAAAACTGAACTAAAACACCATTGTGGTTGTGTCCTCACATGAGGATTGCATACACTGTGCACTTCCATTTTAATTCACCTCATAGCCTGACAACAAGCATCCACTGATCCAGGTTTGTCTCAGTTACTCTTTCAACACAAGGCCTTGTTGTCAGTCGTTTTTTTCAGTAGACTTCAACTCTTTGATTTATACTTCCAGGAATAGACCAGCGGTTGAAAACAAGGTCCACTAAATCATATCACTTTCTCCTCTGTCTGGGACTCTGAACATATCCTGACGAAGGTTAAAACTAGACACAAACAGGTCCATATCTAAGGGGAGCATTTTCTGGCAGAGTAAATACAGAGGATTCCTAGAGAGTAGTGGGCACTCCTTCTCTAGGGATATATAGCAGCAGTCATGGAAAGGGGTAGTTAAGATCCCCCAAAAGGCTAGATAGAGCTAAACTCAAGGGAATTGTCTCATCAGCATCACCCATGAAGCTCAAGGATTCTCTGATTTCTTGGTCCAGATTCAGGAAGACCCCATCTGTCTTGCTGCTTTCTCTCATTGCCCCTCCAGTTACTTCCGGGGGGGGGCAGAGACTAAGAAGTCAAAAGGACTTGGATTCCAATCCTGTGGAGGATCTTGGCCACATTACTTAACTGTTCCCTCAGCTTCCAGGATGCGAACCCAGAAGGAGCAAGGTTACCTGTTGATTGGAACAGCAGCAGACACCAGGCTTGTGAGTCTCTAAAAAAGGCCTCACCTTGGTCGGGAGCCATAAGGGTGGGGTTCGTTAGTGTCAACAGGCTTTCTCCATGAAGGGAAACTACTTATTAATGTCCCAAAGAGTGCTGTTCCATGCTTAGTCTTAGGGGCTCATTGACGAGGGAAGAAAAGCAGTCGTTAACACAGAGGAGATACAGCAATGTCACTGTGGGAAGTAAAGGGGATCTACACGTTTTGAGCCAGAGAGGAAAACTGGGTCCCTATCCTATCACTCTCTATAAGGATGGACTCTGTCTTTAGGGCAGCAGGGCTACACACAGGGCTGAACAGAAGATGCATAACTGTGAAGATGAACGCCAAAGATGTCTATACCAAGAGTGTGACCAGAAGAACACAGCCAAAGGTGAAACCGGTTGGCGGAATTAAAGTCTAACACAGACTCCTCGGAGGTGCTCTATTACCTAACCCCATTCCCAAGGAACCAGGGGCAGCTGGCAGCATCCATCAGCACCCAGGCTGGAATGAACAGTGAGCATTTTCCCCTCCCCATGGTCATTCGATGGGGATGTATCTTCAGCAGCACCCAGCTTATCGTTGTCTGGAGTCCAGCATAAATGCCTTGCCCAGCTATCTTCTGGACCACTCTCTCTGCACAACACTTCTTTCAAAATCCCATGACCCTCCCAAGCTCCTATTTTTCCAAAGAGGAGAGTTGGTTCCTAGTGGTCAAAAAGTCTGAACAGCCACAACAGCCTTCGAGACTGACAACTTGAAAGCTCCCTGGAGCTAAGACACATCACTGCGACATGCACACAGTGCATGCCACTGCATTCTTTTTGTGGTGTCTCTAGGGTCTACCAGTCTTGCTCTGGCCACAGGAAAGCATGTTGACTCTCAACTTCCAAACCATAGCCTGTTAAGGAAATTATCTAAAACTCGGATAGAGGTCAAAGGTGATTGTATGTCCCTGGAAGGTCACCACTCAACGGGTTCACCACAAGGTTACTTTGCTTATAAGAGATTGCCCCTACGTTTGCTGTTTATTATTTAAAATAGAACACATCCAGATCTACACAGTGGCACAGCCTGTACTCTCAACTATGAAGGAAGTTGAAACAGAAGGACTACAAGCTCAGGAGCAGCCCGGGCAACTAGTGAGATCCCATCTCGTAAAACAGAAACGAACAATAAAAAGATCCACCCAGACAGTTTTGAGTCACATATGGACTCAGGTTTCTGTGCAGAAGAAAAGATAACTTGAAGTTTAGTGCCTGTTAAACATAAGCTGGTTTTATATTTAATTTGAAAATATATCTTATATATCCCTTTGCCTCATTGGCTACTTTCATCTTCATTCTTTTAATGCCCATTTGAGCAGTTTTACCATCTTATTTATTCTCATTTGGTGAGTTTAGGACCTTTGCTCCATGTTCAGGTCATCTTTAAGAGAGTCCCACCCTTTGAAGTCTATTCCTTGGCGAGTGCTATAGTTTAGGTGTTGAATGTCCCCCTACAAAGTGCATATGCTAAAGGTTTGTCCCCTGGGTGGTGCTAGTGGGTCCTTTAGGAAGTAAGGCACAGAAGCTGGTCTTTAAATTATTGAGGACATGTCCTCTAGGGGGATTGTGGCACTTGGGCTTGTACTCCTAGCTATGACTTCAGCATTTCACTCTAACACAGACCCCTCTCATTGGCATCCAGAACCCCCATTACAGATGCAGAGTGATAGGTCTGCAAAGTCTTAAATGGAACCTCTAAAATGATAAGAAAAATAAGCTCCCCTTTGAGTTAGTTATCTGGGGTTATTTCACTAGAGTGAAGGAAAGCCAACTAGCACAACAAGGCACTAAGGTACTTCGGGTAGAGATGTATAAAAATAAACTACTCAACTGGAAGTCAGGGTGAGGGGAATTAACAAGCACTTGAAAACCCATCTGAAATCATGCAGATGACCCGTCTGTGAACAAAGGAGTTGTGACTTAGGAACTTTCTCAAGTAGCAATAAGAAGAACGCAAATTGGTCCAACTAAGCCATTTCTAAGAAGAAACACAGCAAACCTTACGAAGACTTTAAAGGCCTTGAGAGCTTACTAGTGACATGTGCTCCCTAGAGGGAAGTTGGGGTTTTGGAAATATTTCTTAGATGCAAAAAGACCTGGAAAGTGTAAACACTAATCTGAGCCTAGAACAAGAACAGTTAATTAAAAATTGCTGGGAGTGCTTGTTCATTGTTCTTGACTGACAGTTTCAGGAACGAATTAAAATCAATAACGAGTACTTTAAAAATAAGACTCTAGGGAGTCACCATGATTGACGCTATTTAAAAGAATTTAAAAAATTCTTTGCTATTATAATTGTTTTAAAGCCATGTACAAGACAGGCAGGGTAATGGGAGCGTTTGAGAAATAATCTCTGGACACTCATTCCAAGCAGAGGTATTTGATGGGTTATAGGGGTTTGTATTTCCCACTTTTCAGCCCATTTCTGCTGAGATTAAAAGGATAGGACACTACCCAAGGACTTAGGAGCTGACCCGAGGCCTCTCTAGGCAGAAAGAAGTTTCTGGGAGCTGCTAAATCATGCTGGTTTCCTTGATTTGTTTGGAGAACTGGTCAGATAAACCAGGTACTGGACTGGTTTAGTGAGCTGAGCATGTTGACTGACATGAGGTGTTCTGGCAATGATCTTCCCACTCGCTGTCTCCTCTGACTCCTGTGGCATTGACTCCTGTGGCATCCTAAGCACCTGGGTATAATAGGCTTTGTCTATCTTAAGGGAGGCTGTTTGTCCTCCTCAACAGCTTCACTCTTCTGTGGCCTTGTGTGCTTCCCAACCCCGTTTTCTCCTTAGCTTTGTTTGACCTTTGTTAGATTAATGGGGGGGGGGCTTGAATCAGAAAATACCCATAAGTAAGAGTTCCAGAGAATTTTGTAACCATAGGCCCGGAGAGTTTCAAACTAGATTATTCCCTATGCATCCTGACTTTTAATACTGTAACCAGAGAGTCTGCACCTTCCTAGGATTGTACAACTCGAGATGGCAGAGCTGAAGCAAGAACCAACCAGCATGCTCCCTGTCTGGACAGCTTGGATATGGTGTTAGCCTTTCTTCACTGTGACAGAAACATCGGACACAGACTACTTAAAATGAGGAAAGACTTCATTTTGGCTCTAGGTTTCTGGGCCTCAGTCATGGAAGAAGAGCATGGAGATAAAAGCGCTCACTTTGTGGCCTCCAGAAAACAGGCAGACAAGAGCCACAGACAAGACACACCTCCAAAGGCGCACCCAGAAACCCAGCTTCACCCAGGCCCCACATCGAGTTTCCACTACCTCCCAGAACGCCACCAAGTTAGGAAGCCATCATCAGACTGACCAGCTAAACAGGGCCCCCATGTTCTAATTGTTTCCCCAAAGCTCATCATCTGTCAATCAAGCCTTTATTTAGCTCATGGGACTTTTGGTGGGGAGGGGGACTTCATATCCAAACCATATCAGACGTTGGATATGGAATCTCTGCTTCAACTTGCCTCTCATCTCCTCTTACCACGTTCTCTGATTGTCACACCAAGAAACAGACAAACAGTAAGTGTGAGAAGGCAGGAAGGACAAGGGTCCCACCTTCTCTCCACCTGGGCTATTGACTTCGAGTCTTTTGTCCAGCAGATGGTAGAATCTTCATGAATTTCTGCAAACTGGCAGCTCAGCTTTACATTCCCAGGGTGGTCGGGAGCCATCTCTGCCTGGATCTTCTTCAACAACACTGGAGCTAGAAATACATTTTCAGGTTAGTGCAGGTGAAAGGCTTTCCCATAAGGATCTACAGAATCCCTGAGGGTCAGGGGGAAGGGCCCTCACTTATAAACGAAGCAACTAGAGGTCTGAGAAGAGATATGGCAGGCTCAAATGTAACATCGGGAAAAACAGATGAAGCATTCAAACAGAAAACACTTGCTTTTCATTACTTAAATTCCAAAGGTACATGATGCCCATGACAAAATCGAACTTGAACTATTTTTGGTTTTTAATTTAGATTGATTTCACTCTATGTGCATGAGTGTTTTACCTGCACATACGTATGTGCCTGGTGTCTGCAGAGGTCCCAAAAGGGCATCAGATTCCCTGGCACTGAAGTTATGGGTGGTTGTGACCATCTTTGCAGATGCTGGGAATTGAACCTGAGTCCTCCACAAATGCAACAAGTAGTCCCTAGTTCAAAATGTTTTTTCTTTAAAAAAAGAAAGGTCTAGTAGACTATAGAAGCCTAGTCCATAGGGCTTGGCTTAAATAAGATACTATTAAATTATTACCTGGTCAAAATCAGAACTGGTGATTAGGGAGTGGAATGAAATCTGTATTGTCAAGGTAAATGAGGTTAAGTCCCCCAAATGTAAAGGATAATTCAACAATAACACACACACACACACACACACACACACACACACAATGCAGTTGTCTTTGTGAAATTGGTCTGGTGAGCTGAATGCATGTGTCTGGAATCAACCTCACTGGCAAAAGGGATGTCTATCTGAATGGAGCAGAAATACTAAGAAGATGACTCCCACAGGTTGGACTGAGATTCGAGTTTGCCTCTGAGTTTAACCAGAGATGAGCATTGGCTCTTGTGGGCAAATATGTATGTAATTGGGCAGAGTAGCCACTGGGTGGCAGCATAGGCATTAGAACAACAGGAGGCTGGTGGGACCCAGGCAAGAGAACAAACAGCTCATCAGGCCTGTCATTAAGGGAAATAGGATCAGTTTACTAAATCCAGGTGGCAGAGCTCCACAGCGTTGGTAATACAAAAGAGCACACCATTATAGAATGTTGCCTAGTCCAGAGGCCAGCCAGAAGTACTAATTCAAGGTCTCACTCACTTGGCTGCCTCGAATTTTCCTACAGGGAAGGTGTTGCATTGAGTTTCCAATTTTTCCTTGACCCCACCGATATAAGACATCAGAACGAAATTTAAAATCAGACCCTGGCCCCGGGAACTGGCAGTGGGCTGGTAGAGTCACACATCCCTCAACTAGAGCCTCACTGAGGTTGCTGCCAACATTATGGGAACCGGTGACATCATGGGTAGAGAGGTGGGCATAACACAGGTATGGAGCTGAACAATGGACTCTGGGAAACAAAGTCAGCCAAGACCCCATTCATGTGGCAGACAAGCAGAAATGCAGCCTATGCGCAAAGGTGCATGGGCGCGGTGCTAGATTCATCTTCTGACCAGCCTGGTTGAAGGCAGACGACTAAAAACAAAAAACTGCTACAGAGCCAGCTTGGTGGCTTAAAGGCAATTGCTGCCTGACACCTGAGTCCAACCCCCAAGGCCCACCTGGTAGAAGGTGAGAACTGACTTTTGTGAGCTGTTGTTACACACACACACACACACACACACACACACACACACACTCTCACACACACACCTAAATGTAATTTTTATATTGAACAGAGTCTCCTGTTACACAGGAAGCTTCCACTGTGCTAAGCTTTGGATGCTAAAGCAAGGCCAGGCAGCATCCATGTTATTCCTCTCAGGCTCCCTGAGCATGCTCACCTGACTTCTGCCAGGCCACAGGAAGAGGGCATTAAATCTGGGCTGCACCGAGGAGAGCACCAGGCTGCTGGGTTCACACAGGCAAGGCAGCAGCTGGCATCATATGATCCACCCAGGCTAGAGATGAGGACCGGGTCTTACAAAGCCCCACCCCTACCCCAGCACCAGAACTGAAAACTTCTGTGTTGTATTTTCCTAGTGGTCACATTAAACAAGGGCAAACCCAAAACAGAGAAAGCTGGAGAGCAAAGCCAAGACCTGTGAGTGCTCACTGCTGAAGTAGATACTTAAAGACATTCGTCACTGACAGAAGCTCATACACAGCAATTAGAACTAATTAGTTCAAAAGGAAAAAGCAGGTCTTGTCAAGGGTAGAGCTTATGGAAGCCACCATCCCATAATAGTAAATTATTTTCCAGGTCACTGATCCTCATCTGTGTACTTACTCATGGGCTAGAGCACACAGCAGGTGCTTACTAAGAGAACACACACTAATTATCACAAATGACTGAGGTCAACATATAAGAACATGTCCTTAGCAAACGAATGGTCAGGTGGTCAGCCCCAAATCAGGTAGGGGCCTGGGACTGGTTTGCAGGTATGACAGGGGCTGGGGACACAGTGAGTGCCAGTGTTTCACATATCTGTCTCCTTCCCTGCTAAGGAAATTGTCACTCAACAGGGGAGAGGCTGGTCCACTCCTGGCCCTTGTCATCTGGGAAAGGACCACCATGTAAAGCCCTGCTCAGATATAAGCAAATCTTCCCCAAACTTCCTCTGTATTGAGGATCCCAGAAGATGTCAAGTGGGTGTACCTGTTTCCTCGGACTCAATGACTCCACACCTCTGTAAAGACCACATTCTTTGGAGGGCAGCTAAGAACCACTCTTCCTTCTAACCTGTCTGGACTAAGTTCTTCAACTGCGCTGGAAGTCTGGCATTTCTTTCCTATTGCTTTCCATCTTTATGTGGGATGAGTCCCGTTGTTAGTGCCCGCAATCTACAGGTGAAGGAAAGGAGGCTCCAAGGGTAAGGCATCCGTTAGGGCCTCTCTGTTCCTGGCAGAAACCAGACTCCAAGCCAAGCATTCCAACCAATCTCTAACCTCCATCCCTCACACAGCAGCACAAACACTGTGAAACTTATTTCCAGAAACAAGGCAAATTCACAAGTCTGGAAAAGTTCTGGAACCTTCAAGAATCTCAGGGGCCCCACCCAAGGTTATATAACTGTGATGACAGCTAGGGAAGGGACCCCAAGAGCTGACCACAAGTCAGAGCAGGGACCTGTTGGGACTCAAATTCCATGAGTGCTCATCTAAGCAGAGCTGAACTTTGGGATATCCATGTGCCTATGAGTAACTCCCCGTGTCTGTTCTGTAATTCCAGTCAACACATGGGATCACAGACTTGTGTCTCTAGGAAAAGTCAGACAACAAACACCTGCTGTTTAACACTGGATCTGCCTCTCAGTGGCCTTCACCGTGGTCTTGGTCCCTGGAAATAGCCCTGCATGCTGCATTGAATCACTTTGGCTTGGGAAAACCTTCAGTTGTAGCCACCCCAGGGCCTCTGGGCGCACACCTTTAATCCTAGCACTCCGGAGACAGAGGCAGACAGATCTCTGTGAGTTCAAGGCCAGCCTGGTCTACAGAATGAGGACAGCCTCCAAAACATACAGAGAAACCCTGTCTTGGAAAAAAAAAAAAAGAATTTGACTGGGTGGGTCCGTACTCTGACAGATGACAATTTGCCCCTAACCCTTTCTGGACTTAAGGGCTGAGCGTAGGAAACCTCAGCCCAGATCAGGCACTGGGCTTAAGAATGTGGAAAACTCTCCTCAAATCAGTGGGGAGGGAGCCTTCTGCTCCAGCACCCAGCATCCCAGCAGCTCCCCATGGCATCTTCTCTTCAGACTTCCACTGCCAGGCAGCATGAGAAGGGACCACTCCAAAAGATTTTGTAGCTTCTTTGGGGCCGTGGGATAGGTATGGCTGGACAGTCCCTTAGCCTGAATGGAAGGAATGATGCCAACATCTTTGAGGTTCAAAGGGACTGAAACCTGAGTAGATTCAGACTCACTGTCACTGAGGACAGAGTTGGGGAGAAATTCTATACTTAAATGTGGCAGAAAAACCCAAAGTTCCCTTAAGTTACGCTTAACGGGGGGGCGCACAATTGACAATTAAAAAAAGTCTCAAGTTGTGCTGAAATATTTCTTTATGTTCCCTGCTTAGTGTGTGGTCGTTTTAGTTCTACAGATTCACTATAGCAGTGCCTCTGCTCAGCTTTTAAAGGAGATTTTAAAAGGAGATAATTAAGCCACAAAGCATCTTCTCCACACCCCCTCTGTCAAACACACCAGCAGGCAGCCTTGATGAGGGAGGGGTTCTAGGGTGCGCATCTCCTGTCAAGCTACCTGGGAACTGGGTGCATGTGCAGATTTTTGAGGACGCCCACCCCATCCCTGGTAACATCTGGCGGGTGCTCAGAAACCTGCATTTGAGCAAGCTTACCAGTGAACTGATGGCTGCTCAAGTTTGAGACCCGTGGGACACTTTGGCCACAGTCGTGGCTTCCACGCCCACCGGATGCTCACCTGACTGACAAGGACTCAGAGGGACACAGGAGCCTCCTGCCTAGCCCAGCGAGGTCTCACCTTTCCCTTCTGCTTTGCATGGGGCCTTTTTGGAGTCTTTTTTCTCGTCGGTGCGGGACAAGGACTTTTCAAACTTGGGCGTTTTCTTCAGAATGGTGTTCTTTCTCATGTTTTCCTTCTCCTCCAGTCTGAGTCTCAGGGCTGCTACCCTGGATAGAATTTTCTTTTTTACCCCTGCTGCTAAATGTCCACTTCCCGAGGCCTCTTGCTTTTTCTTGTCCTCCTCTGCCCCAGCCATTGCTGATCGGGCCCCAGGTGCCTTGCTGGTCTGGGTCTCCAGGTGCTTCTGCTGTTCCTCTCTGGACTTTTCCCTGCTAGCTAGTGGGGAGCACTTTTGACACCGATCCTTAAGTAATATGCCTTCAGGGGTTTTCTCTGACTCACAGTCTCCTGAAATGAAAGCCAAGGCCATTGTTGGGGAGTGGGGTGGATTTAGGGGTTTGGTTTCCGCAATTTGAAGCTCCTCCGATTTCACTTCCTCAATGTCATGGCTTATTGACAAGCGTGTGACATTTCCTTTGGGAGATGAAGCACAAGGCATCTGTGTGAGACCATTCGAAGAGGGCACATGTTTCCCACACTCACTCTCCATGGTTCCTTTTTCCTTCCACGCAGGAAGCACATCTTGATGGTTTCTGGGCTCAGATCCACCGTAAGTGTGGCCTGTGGAGTCGTTGGTGTCAACCTCAACAGATGCAGGAGTCATTCCTACAGGGCGACTAGAAAGAGGTGACATGGAGGAAATTAATTCAGCCATGTCCTTTCCCATCTGCCCAGCCTCTCCTAGGCTTCTGTCATTACCATCTTGTACTTGGCTCTTGCTGCCTACAGTTGGAATTCCTTGTCTCTCTTCACCAGGACATTGGGCTTGGCAAATGGCAGCCTGGGCCTCTGCTTTTGCTTTCTTAGCCTGACTTTGTTTGGTGTCTGCTTGCTCTCTGTCTACGTGATTTTGGTTGATTGTGCTTTCGTTTGGAATGACTTCCCCACTGCTCTGGGGGTGTGGAACCCTCAGGATAGCAGGTTGGATGTCTGCGCTCTGACATGTTTTCCTATTGGCGGATTCATTCCCTTCTGTGTTGGAGTTAGAGAGCTCTGGCTTCTCAGGCCAGACACACTCCATCTCACTTCTGTCATCAATGGGATCCACAGAAGACTCCAGGATGCCAGGGAAGCTCACAAACCGGTTAACAAGCGTAGGGTCGCACGGCCTCCACTGACTTCCTTCCTGTTCTTCGCTCGTGGTTTCAACGCTTTCCATCGCTCCACTTTCGGAAACCTCCAGTGGAGAGTCTGGGACACCTAACCCCTCTTCCTTCACAGGGTCTACAGATGACTCCAGGAGTCTGGGTTGGCCCAGACACTGGGAAGATGGACTGCTGTAATGCGCGTGTCTGGCTGGTACATCACCTGCACAGGTGTCCTTGTTGGCAGCAAGAGCTGTGATCGTGCCAGTTTGAGGGCTGGGAACCCATGATACTACTCCCAAGGCACCTGCCTCAGGCCTGGTAGCACCTGCTCTTAGGATATCAGACAGAGCCCAGCCCCTACTAGGGACTGTGAGATCAACTTGGGCCTCCTTGTACCCGGAATGCATTGCTTGTTCCGGTGGCCAGGTTTCATAAACAGGTGCTTCCAGCGTTATGATCTTCACCTTGCTGCCCACAGCCCAACTTCCTAGTCCAATGTCTTCTTTTTCTTGAAGGGGGATGTCAGGGAGAGGTGGAGCACTGCTTAGTGGGTGACTATGGTCTTCTATAGTCTTCTCAGTCACCACTGGGACACTGGTCCTTGGATCCAAGCTATGCCCAGTTTCTTCCTTGGAAGCAGCTGGGGAGTGCTGGAAGGGTTCCACATTGGCCTCCTGTTGCATGGCGGGTATCAGGGGCAAAAATTCTTGGAAATAATCTGCAGGAAGAGAATGCTGGTGGGATATGCACTGTTTTCTTTCACTTCCCTTTTCCTGGAAGTCCTCTTCAAGACCTCTGCTGTGGTCTCCCTCCACCATCTGGATCTTATACCCAAGCTGGTTATCAGTCTGAAAGGAAGCGCTCCACAGACCCTGCCCCTCAGGCAGTGAGGGGGGGTCATGAGCTCCTGGAATACCGGGTGCTGGGATAAACATCTCCCTGGTCATTTCACTAGTAGAGCTGCTTAAAGAATGGCCTGGCTCTATGTCGGAAAGAGACTGGAAATTATTTTCCTTCTGTGCCTCACATGAGGTCTGGTCAGCACCATCAACAAGGCTGTTGTCCTCAAGAACTGAAGCAGTATGGCATTTGATTGTATGGACGTTGGCTTCATTAGCTAGTGTGTCCTCGGTCTCCTTGGTCACCTGATGGCAATCAACACTAGCAGTTGACTGTGTTGACTGTTCTTTTGGGTATCCTCCGACTGACCTGTAACTGACAAGTGTGTCTATGGCAACACCAAGATGGGCGCCTTCATAGCCTCCTTCACTAACGTTCACGAGGGAGTTATTCTCAGAACAAAGGGGCTGTGTCTCCCCGAGCCCTCCTAAGTTGCAGGGTGCTGTGGAGGAGAAGATGGAGGGAGAATTCCCCCCACTTGCTGGAGTTTCCCCCACAGCACCTTTGCTGGCCTCCTGTGATGCGCTGCAGGTGAAGGTACTATTAGGAAGAGGGCACTTGGCTGGCTCTCCATCCTCGCTGCACTCATACGTGGACTGTGCAAGCTGAGGACCTCGTGCTTGAAGAACGGCCAGTGTCTTGTCAGGAGAACATAAATCACATACTTTGCTTTGACCTTCCGTCAGTTCCAAGTCCATGGGGCAAATTTCTTGAGACAAATATTTATCAACTGATGCTGCCACGGGAAGATCCATGGTATCATAACATGTTTCTTGGTCACCAGCTTCAAAACACCCCATCACACATGCAGTTTTTCTGCCCCTTGGCCCACTGCCCACATCTTCCAGGGGAAGAGAGGGAGCAGTGGGCTGAGAGAAAGCAGTAGAGAGAGCCTCTGGCTCCCTGCAGTGGGCACTGTCACCAGGAAGGAGGTGTGCTGACCATGGAGCCTGGGACACTTCCTCATTGCCTTCTAGGGCACTCAGTTCACCTGCTGGTTCTGCCCAGAGGTCACCAGGCATGTTGCTGTCTCTGTTTTGTCTGGCTTCCTGCTGGAGCCCTTGAGGACAGCTTTCCAGGCCCAGGTATTGAGTCAATGATGCATTTTCCTTGTTGATCTTACTCAAGTTGGAGACAAAATTTGCAGTGGTCCCAGTAAATGAAGACTCCTCCCCAACAGGCAGGGAGAAAGCTGGCATCTGGTCGAGATAATTTATCTCCCCAGTGGTTTCCTCAATTTGCATCTAGAAGAATGAAAAGTGATATTAATAGAATTGTTCCTGAGAAAGGCCACACAGGATTTATCTGTAGTCCCAGGGATGCTAATCCTTGATAACTGTAATAAGAAACAAGGACCATAGCAAAAATGACTGAACACTGATCCACAAACTCACTCTGGCTATTAGAGACTTCCTAGGAAGCTGTAAATTTAAATCACTCTGTATCCTAGGGGACTCCGTGCCCAATCTCACCATTATAAGCAAAAAGCCTCCTGGCAATCATCATGTGTTTAATGATTTTTCTGCTGTCTCTGAGGAAAAAATATGGAAATAAATTGGATGGTAAACTAGTTTTGAACAAACCAGTCACAGCAAGACCTGTGGGCATCTCTCTAGAATGACGACTTCCATGCTGTCATTATAGGAAGTTGTCATTACAAATGAAGTTGACAGTGGACAACAGTTTACTGATTAACACTGTTACTAAAAGGCAGAGAAGAAGACAGAGTCAGACATGGTGGTGATGCATGCCTGTCATGCTAATACTCATGGGACCAAGGCAGAAGGCTCACTTGATCTTGGAAGTTCGAGACCAACCTGGGCAACATAGTGAGAGTCCCATTTCAAAAAATATGTGCATGCATGAGAAGATGGCGAGGAAAACCTGTTCTCCTTCTAAATATTGTAAGTGTAGAATCCTTCCCTTTCCCCAGAACTTCAGAGAACAGATCTGGAAAAGAGCAGAGCTAGGCCTGTCCTTCAAGCCCGCCTCCAGGGGAGTAAGGGAGATTTGATTGGCCACCAGCCCTGCCAATCATTTCTGTCTCAGAAGAGATTTTAAAAAATCTGGACTTTTCAATGAGGTTCTGGGGCAAGGAGCCACAATCTCAAGAAGTAGGAGATGACTTTTTATGTTGTTTGGAGAAAGGGAAGGGAAAGGAGAGAAGGAGGTGAGGAGGAGAGGAGAAAGAGGAAGGGGAACCCTACAGCCTGAAAACTGAGTCCCTCTCAGCATTGTTTGGATGCTGTGTGAGTCTACATATTATTTAAGCAGAAAAAGCTTTTGACCATGCTCTTGTCTCTTAAAACTTCTGGCCCTTTGGCTGTTTCAAAGCAAAACAAATCAGTCCAGAGGGGCAGCAGTAATTCTTGGTGAGCCACTCCATGTTCGCCCCAGGACTCTTGCTTTGTAGAGCCCTACTCCAACGCACGGGAGACAGAGAGCTAGTAGGGGTGCGGCCACTCTCCCAGCCTGTAACAAGATGGACCTGAAACACTCATTCCCACAGGAAGTTCCAGTCCAGAGGCTCATCTTCACAAACTCCACAGCAGCCTGGGTCTTCTACCTCACAGTTAATTCCTGTACCTACTGCCGTGCTCCACGGTGCTCGCTGCCTGTCAGTCATCCGTCTCTAGTTTTCTTCTAAGCTTCTCTCATGTCCATTGAACTTGGACTTCATTGGCAAAGTAAATATGAAGAAATTTAATATGAACTCCAGAAGGACTAAAACTATTTACAGATCCTGCCAATGGTCATTGAGCACCTCCAGCGTACTAAGAAGTGTTCCACGCGAGGGAGACGTGGCAGGCAAGGGCTTGTCTTCACAGAGAGCCCATTCTGTGTGTGATCAAGACACAAACGGCAATAAGACCACAGTAGACGCTCCGTGACTCTGTGCTGAAAGAAAGAGTAAGTGGGTGACAAATGCACCAAAGGGGGCTCCTCTGGAACCTATGACTTTGCAAGGGTTTCACTTTGAACTTAGGGACAGCCTTATTATTGGAACGGAGGTTTCTGCCAGGTGTGGTGGTAAACATCTGTAATCCCAGAATTTGATCCATAGAGTAAGGAGGATCAGGACTCCAAGGCATCCTCTGCTGTACAAAGAGACTGAGGACAGCCTGGGCCACATGCCAGTCTGTACCAGAGAGGGAGAAAGGCAGGCCAGGGGGCTCGAACCATAAACATCATTCATTCGTTCAAATACTGGTGTTTCTAAAAAGGAAGATATTCCTGCTTCTGCTACTTGTGATGCTACATACTGGCGGCATATTCTTAAGGACATATCTACTCTTTTTTTCTCAATCCCTTTTGCAAATCATCATTTTAAGATAGAAAATGTAAAACAGCAAAAATAGTTTAGAGGAAGTGAGGAGAGAGGCTTTTATGAAGTGGGCACAAGTTTCATAACAGATGAAATACAGCACTTGTGAAACAGCCATGAGCAATCTCTGCCCCCCAACCCCACTGGGATGGCTTCCTCCCTGGGACTGAGTACCTACAACAAGTGGAGAGTATTCTTTCCATCTGCTCTTTCCGTTCAGATATTTACAAAGAGCTATGGCTCAGACTACCAGGTTGTTAAGCACAGAAAGCTTGGCAGCTTCTGGTCAGAAAGGAGAACTGTAGAAACCTCCCCGTGAAAACACCACACCCTCCTCTCGGGCCTCTGTTCTGCCGGAACTCCCATGACCCATGTGCCTACCCACCCATGTCCCTTCCCGTACATATCTTCCCCAACCCATGTCCCTTCTCATCTATCTTCCCCTCATGTTCTTCATGTCCCCCACCCATATCCCCTACCGATGTGCCACATCTACGTTCCTCCCATGTCTCCCCCCCCCACCTATGTCCCACACACGATAGTCCCTTATTGCAAGGTCTTGCTATCATCACAGAATCATTAATATCAATAGACATTCTAGAAGTAGCTTCTGTGTGAAGAATTGTTGCCCAGTATCCTGCAATTTTTTCCAAAGGGTTCGTTTAGATTGTTAATCATTACCCCCACCTGGATGACTACTACATCAACAGAGCAATAGGCTTATTCTAAAAAGAAACTAACATCTGGAACTGACCTTGTGGAACAGGCCTGCAGTCCAAGCTCTACAAAGGAGACTGAGACAGAAGGATCACAAGTTCAACACCAGCATAGGCTACATCATGAGGTTTAGGCCAGGGCAACTTCGTCCTGCTCAAAACCAAAGGTAAAAGAAGAGCCTGGGATAGTGAGGCTAGGGGTTCAAGCCCCAGGATTACATAAGCAAGAAGATGGGACAAGGATGTCCCAGTTCAAGCAACTCTGATCCCCAGCCGTGTTGCAGCACTCCTTGATGTTTATGGTAGGTGGTCCCATGTGCTCATCCCTCCCCCAGCTTGCTTTAAAATAAAACCTCACTGGGGATGGAGACAGTTCAGTGGTTTAGATCACATCCAAAGGACCCAAGTTCAGTTCCCAGCACCCATGTCTGGTCGTTCACACCAACTGCAACTCCAGCTCCGAGTATGCAGGTTCTCACACACATAGGGTATACACAGAGAGAGAGAGAGAGAGAGAGAGAGAGAGAGAGAGAGAGAGAGAGAGAGAGAGAGAGAGAGAGAGAGAGAGGGAGAGGGAGAGGGAGAGGGAGAGGGAGAGGGAGAGGGAGAGGGAGAGGGAGAGGGAGAGGGAGAGGGAGAGGGAGAGGGAGAGGGAGAGGGAGAGGGAGAGGGAGGGAGGGAGGGAGGGAGGGAGGGAGGAAGGAAGAAAGAAAGAAAGAAAGAAAGAAAGAAAGAAAGAAAGAAAGAAAAATAAATCTTTCTTGAGGGGGAGATGGGAACCAGTTAAGAGTGCTTGTGGCTCTGGGAGAGAACCCAGGTTCAGTCCCCAGCAGTCATAATCTGAACCAGAATGTTCTAAGTACCTGAAGAACCTTAGTGAACACGTAACAATGCCAGACTTCCGAATTAACTTCAGGTAAGAAACTGTGTAGGAAGATTGCTCCTCTGATGTGAAATCCTATAAGGTATACCATTGGTTCTTCTCCACTCATGGATGGTGACCATATTAACAGAGAACTAGGCATCCTGAGCCATGCCTGGTAGTGCAGACCTGTGATCCCTGCTATGAAGAAGGCAGACACCTCGTGATTCTTCGGAGGGTGGAATCTGAACAGACCACTCCCTATTTCTTTTAAGGCATAGTTACCATCCAGAGGCCAGCTCTCGGAGAGGAAACGCATAGGCTCACACCTTCCCAGTGGGTCAGACCTTTCTTAGTTGTCGTTTGGAAAGAAATCCAGCAAATAGAGATCTGCTTGCTTGTTGCATCCATTATGGAATGGATGGGGTATTGAAAACTCTGGGGTAGAGAGGGAGAGTTGTTATGTAGTAAAGTTGTTCTCATTTGGGTGAAAATGAAGAGAGTTTGTGTTTAGCTGGGTGGTGGTGGTGGCAGCACACGCCTTTAATCTCAGCATTTGGGAGGCAGAAGCAAGTGGATCTCTGGGAGTTCAAGGCTAGCCTAACCTACATAGTGAGTTCCAGGACAGCCAGTGCTATACAGAAAAATCCTGTCTGGAAACAAAACAAAACAAAAAGAGGGTGTTTATGACTGTCCTGTTATGTAGACAGGATGCCTGGAATTAGCCCTAGCTTAATCCACTCTGCTACACAGGACCCGGGTAACCACTCGAGCCACCCTGACCCACCGTCTCGTCCTCTAAGGCTAGCCACATGAGCGTCAGCACCATCCTGTCAGGTACCTGGCATGTTGCCCAGTACCCAGAAGACACTGACATTAGCTTTCCTTGTTTTGGGTAAAAAAAAAAAAAGGCAGACAAGGCAAAGAGGAAATGGAACAGCCCCCGTAAATAAAGCCCTGAGCTCTACAAAGGCTCTTGCCTCCTTTAACTGGTAGGTGAATAGCTTGACCCCCACCAGGAGACAGAACCACACAGTGGACCCTGTAAGGGAAGTATGATGCAACGGTTCTTAGCTATAATGGAAGAACACTATAAGATGGAAAGGAAATTTCTGGTGCCCAAGCATGAAGGAGGTGACAGAGAAGGACAAGCTTGCATGGGATTCAGCCCTAGGTTGAGATGGTCAGGCCACCAGATAGCACAGAAGTTCATTGGAATAGTCAGGCCAGAGCTGGAATGGAATTGCTGGGAAATCAACAAACAGCTCATCCAAGTTCAGGCATGGGCATGTGTGTACAGTGGAGTCCAGGCGCTTGTGAGTGTGGAGACTGAGACCTCAG